CACCAAGTCCTAACCTAGCCCACCTAGGCACCTCCTAGCCTGCCTAGAGCCCATCCGATTTTTTCCACCGATTTGCAAGAAAACGCATCGGCTCATCACTGCCCAGTGCCTAGGCTCTTTTTTAGAACATTGATTGTGAGTCATATGATGAAAAGGATAAATAATGGTCTTTTAGCTATACGAAATTGTGTGAGGCTTGTGAGGAGCTCTCGACAAAGATTGGAGTTTTTTAGGCAAGCCGTGAATTTGGTGAAATTGACGTGCAAAGCAACAGTTTGCCTTGATTGTCCTACTCGGTGGAATTCTACATTTGTTATGTTGGATGTTGCCTTGAAGTTTAAGAAGGTCTTTGCTACTATGGCGAAGGATGTAGAAAGTTCCTTTGTGGCTTACTTTAAGGAAGTTGAAGATGAAAAAGATGAAGATGGGGTGAGTATTGCTTGCCAAACTAATGGGAGGAAAAGGGTTGGACCACCTACAGAAGAAGATTGGTTCAAGGCGGAAGGTTTTGTTAAGTTTTTATGGATGTTCTATGAGGTGACTTTGAGGGTAAGTGCTTCTACACATCCCACGGTTCATACCGGCTTCCATGATGTCATAAAAATAAAGATCGCTATAAATAATTTGGATCCCCAAGCCAATATGCAAGTCGGTCTACCTTCAGAGCAATTATTGAAGGCAATGGCTTACGACATGAGATCAAAATATGAAAATATTTTAACTCATACCATGAATCAAACCCGCTAATTGTGATTGAACTTGTTTTAGATCCTAGGTTCAAGTTGAGGCATGTCACACAACTCTTTAAAAAGAAACTTTCTGATTTTGAGGCACAATTGAAAACTAATGAAGTAAAACATCTATTGCATGCCCTTTATGATGCATATGCCCCAAATGTTGAAGGTGGAAAACACATAAAAAAAGACCCTTCACAAGCACAACATTCTGCTTCATCTGATATGGCGTCAATGGAAGATGATCTTGTTGATGAATGGATGCATTTTGTTGAAGCAAGTGATGAGAAAGTGGTGAAAGATGAGGTGGACTCTTATTTATTGGATCATTTGGTACAAATTACAAAAGAAGAGTCCACAAAGTATTTTAACATTCTCTTATGGTGGAAGATGAATGGTACTAAGTATCCTATCTTGGCCGCCATTGCAAAAAATATTCTTGCTATTCAAGTCTCTACCGTGGCATCAAAAAGTGTTTTTAGCACCGGAGGTCGAGTAATTTCATATTCTAGGAGTTCTTTAACTCTTAAATCGGTAAAGGCCTTGATATGCATGCAAAATTGGTTAAAGGCGATAACACTATTACTTTGGAGGATGATGCACCTTCGGTTGAGCACATTGAGTTCTATGAAAGTATTGAATCGGGTAAGTATATCATGTCAAGTTAAAAAACTTTCTTAATTTTCTTTTTCAATATATTTTGTTACTTTTGTAGGCTTTTTAAAATTTATAACAACTAATGTGATTTATATTGTTTATATTTTGTATTATTTAGAGTTGGCCAAATCAACTTCAAGCCTCGCCGCTCTTACTATTAATCCACAACCACAAGGTTCAAGCCAATAAAAAGGTTCTAGTTCACAAGGATGAATGGTTTCCCATCTATTGGTTTTAAATTTACAACGTGCAAGGCCTTCCCAAGTATCGGCTGCCCAAGCCCGTTCACAAGTTCAAAGACCTCCTAAACCTTCGGCTAGTAAGTGTGCAAAAAGAAATGGAAAGGCAAAGGTTTGAAACTTGAATGATGCAAAGTAAGTTGAAACACCAAAACTTTTTTATTGAATTAGATGAACAGTTTATTTTTTGGGTTGTACTAATGTCATAACGCATTTTGATGTTGAATTTTGTTTGAAGTTTGAACTTTAATTTTAAATAATAAACTTAACAATTCAATTGGGTTGTACTAAAGTAGCACCATAGGGCATTTTGGTTTTTAATGTTGAACTTTATTCCAAGTTAAATTTTAATATTGTCATCAAGTTGAATTATTCTGTTGTGGTCCTTGTAGATGTGAATTCTGTTGTCACTGACTCGCTGCCTAGGGAAGCATAGTTGAGTGTAATAATGTATGTTGTATGCATGACTGATTGTAATTGAAGCCATGCTTGATTGAATTTTAGTATTGTATGCAGGCTTCAACAATGCAGTAATAGAAGACATGCAATTGTTTTAATGAATCTAGGGGTATTCAATTCAATTAGGATTTTAAAGAAGTTTATAACATTTCAAGTCTCACCTCTTCCCATGAGATTTCGAGGGAATTAAATCAAAATTTTATATGGAATCTCTACAAATCAATTAAACTCCATAAAAATTCATAGATTTATAAATCCATTAAATCTCTCAAATTCTCAATTGAATAAACCCCCCTAAGTCTTCACAAATCTCACTAGTCCCCTGAGATTTCAAGGGAATTGAATTAAAATTTTATATGGAATCTCTACAAATCAATTAAACTCCATCAAAATCCATGAGTTTAGAAGGTTCTAGTCGAACCTTGGCTAGTATGTTCAGTACTCTCTAACTGAAGTTGGATGAGCATATTCAATAGGCATTTGTCGAAGCAGAACATATCATTCGGCACATCCCTAACGTAGCAGCGCATGCCTTTCAGTAGGCTCTAGCTGAAATTGGGTCACACCATTTGGTAGACACCATCTGAAGTTGGGTCTATATAGTTAGGTACCTTTCAACCGAGTCACTGGGGTACTTCTCTCACTATTGTGATTTTCAACGAGTAACGTGGTACTAAGCAAATATGAGAATTTGATAAACTTTCGCTACATTGTTGCTTCATGAGTAAGTTAGAGACATTGAAGGAAGAGAAAAATCTTCTTCACTAAAAATTCAATCAGATTCTATAAACTTCATAATTGTACCTATTCATGAATGCAAGATCATCTCTAATAATTAAAAGGTCAGTAGAGAAAGTCAATGAGCCATAGAATCCTCTTAACAAGGTACCTCCGTTTTTTATGCTTCAAGCATAAGTTTTTTAATGCACAGCATGGCGGTGGCTTATTTAGCTCTTCCACGCCATTGTTGGCTTCAGTGGATTCTCAACTTCTTGATAGTCAAGTAGAGCTTCACGTCTTGTACCCACATAAGTAGTTTATGTCCGAAATATCCAAATCAATGGAATCAAACTTGTTACAGTTCGACAATCCACTGAATGGAGAGAACAAGATTGTGATTTGTGTTATGAGAAATAAACATGGATAAGCATCAAAGTTAGAACATCCGGGTTCTAAGACATGATTTGGTCTAAACGGATTAATTATAGAGAACTTTGGGTTTCAACATTTGTGGTGAATGTTAGAAAACTTTTGGTTTCTATGACACTTTTCCAAAATTGTGGGTCAAATTAAAAGTATGGACTTCAAGTTCACTGTACCTGCATTCTTAATGGCAATACAATATTACAAATATTATATATTATGCAATTCAATTGAAAAAAAAAAATAAACAGTAAAATTGCAAACATATAATCCCAACTAAAGTCATTTAATTAATCAAGTAGATACTTTTGGAACCTATGTATTAGGGGTGGGCATGGTTTGGTTTGGTGCGGTTTTGAGTGAAACTAAAATCAAAACCGCAAGTTTTTGCGGTTTGGTTCGGTGCGATTTTGAGGCTAAAACCGAAATGAAACCAAACCATTTGGTTTGGTTTGGTTTGGTTTTAAAAGATTTTTAAAATCAATTCTTAATTGAATACACTTAAAATGTTATAAACTTCTTTAAAAATCTTAATTGAGTACACCTGATTTCTAAGAATTTTAATAAACTATCTAAAATTCATTTTTCCGACCTAGTAGTTGTTGTCATTTGGGTTATTTTAATCTTTTTAACACTAAACTAACCCATTAAAACTTATATTTCCAAAAGAAATATACCCATGCCAATGAAAACGTACTCATGCCAAAAGAACACGTACCAACGTCAAATGAAAGCATATTTATATTGAATAAAATGTACAACGCCAAATGACACGTACCAACGTCAAATGAAACGTACCAATATCAAATGAAAATGTATTTATGTTGAGTAAAACATACACAGGCCAAATGAAAACGTACCAACGTCAAATAAAACGTATTAAACGTCAAATGAAAATGTATTTATGCTGAATAAAACGTACACCCGCCAAATGTAAACATTTCATGCCGAAGTGTATCAGTTACAAAAATTGTTTTTTTTAGTAAATATTTTATCGTTCGGGTATTTGGTGAATTATTATTTTCTAAAAATTCTTTAACTTCTAGATAATGATAGAGAATAACTTTTCTTTTCATAAATAAGTATGGAAACACATGTGATCCTAAACTTCTAAAAGAAGCAAGTGACCCTTTACAACAGTGATGAAAAAGTGTTGAGCCCTTGCATGACAACGTTGGCTTGACAAAAAAATAAAAAAGTTCTAAAAGAAAAAATTAATAATGATAAGAGGATACTGCAATTAGTGATGAATAAACACATAGAACTCTTTCTTAGTAAAATATGAAATGAGTAAATACATAAATAAAAAAATGTCACTTTACTAAAAAAATACGCGGCCAATTTTTAAATTTTAAATTTATTTATTTTTATTTTGAAATACGTGAATGATATGTATATTATTAAGAAAATATTAAATGTGAAATATACATAGGTAGTGTATTATACATTGAACTTTAAAAAAAACGTGAAATTTAACAAATCATTGAGACATTTACAAAAATATTTTAGACCAAAACATACAAACGTGTATAATACAAGCGAATTTAAAAGCCATGAGACGGTTGGCAATTGATACATCTCTTTTAAGCGACCGGCGACCGCCCTAGGTGCCTCCGGCGGCGTTGATAGCCTACTTCCATAGCAAAACTGAAGATGGCCTAATAGCCTACAATTTAGCCACCACCATGTTCAATTTGGCCACCAAGTATAATTTTTGACAAACCAACTGGAACGCGTCGAAGCTCAGGCAAAAGATAAGAGTACAAACTACATAATTTATATTTTAAACTACATTCATTAGATCAGAAGGCATTTGATAATGTGCATATACAAACTCCTAGCAGCTAGGTAACTGTTAGAACTTCTAGCTGTGCTAATACCATGTCGCAGCCTCGCGCCATGCCCAGTAGCAACAAGGACACATGGTGAAACTACGTTAATTAGAACCGGGAACCTGTATCCTGTAACTGATTAGTCATCGTCCGATAAACAAACTACATCTGTGCGTCCAGCAGTATGTACTTGGTTGAAACAATTTCCGATGGTAGGAGCAGGACTCGAAAGGTGCAATTGGTCACGGTTTAAACCCAAATTCGGCAATGAGGGAAAAATACCAGGTGGGTTAGCACCAGATTGGCTGTTCATTAGTAACTCCAACGCGGATATATTACAACGAAGACCGGACAATCCTCCTGCAGTTTCAGGATGGTGAGCCCTATTATAAGGAAGAGATTGTTGTGTGGGGGTTGGAAGTCGTGGCACATGAGGAAGTGACTGGGACATTGCAGGAGAGTTGCTATGTGACTGCCAATTTGACATGGATGTTGAGGGTCTAAAAGGTTGGAGATGTGGAGCTGGGGCACGAATATCACCTCCACCTCGGGGGATTCCAGTGGAAGCGAAGGAACCAATGTGAGGCGGTCTTGCTGGAATGCTGGGATATTGAGCAGGCAAAAATGGAAGAGTCTGTGTAGGTGGAACTGTACAATGCGGATTGGTTGCAGGTGCAGGTGCAGGTGCAGGTGCAGGTGGGGTTGCCTGGAGGCTGCGTGTGAGTGCAATTGAAGTCGCCAGGCTAGCTGCAGGAGGGCTTGCCAAAGATGAACCGGCAACTGTAGAACTTCTTTGTGCATTTTGCTGCATAGAGAGCTGGTGCAGCTGCTGGACGAAATTGGAATTGCCATCTGCCAGGGGAATAAAGGCGAGGAGCATAAGAGCAATGCAGAAAAGTAATTGATATATAGAATAAAGCGTGTATTGATTCATGGACTGCATGATCCTTCATGGCATACAAGCGGATCAAGACATGTACATGTTTAAAATTTATAACATGCAAGAGGTTCAGATTACCTATATTTCAAATTCCACTTAAAGCTATAATTAAAATTCAGATTCCAAAAATAAAGCCTAAAGGGGGTGGTTAGCATTCTATTAGGTTTAGCAGTAGCCTGTACGAACACTGTTGGTAGTCATATACCTTCTACTTACCATCCCCTTCTCCTATTTGCCTATGCAAGTCTAACGATAACTTTTTCTGAACACTTTGCAGATTTACATAAAACCTACACACTTTATAATTAGACGAAGCTAATGTATTATGTAATTTGCAAAATGAAACAAAAAGCTAAAGAAACGCCCAATGATGATTCTTGGTCTTCCACGAGAAAAATACCATCCAAACCACACCTCTGGTATATGAAAAAAATGAAAGAGAGAAAATAAATAACAACTCAAAAGGTATGATGCAGAAATTTCAAACCTTTCTGCACTCCAGATGCACTCGATGCCCTAATAAGATCCATGTATTTACAGAAAGCCCAGGAGAGAATCTTATTCCTTATAACCTGGTCACGGATTGCATCCTGTTCTTTCTTTTTACTGTGAAATTCAGCTTCAGTCTCCAGTAATCTAATTTCATACTTGCGACGAATTTCAGTAGTAGCCTCCTCTATCTCCTTTTCACAATCAGATTTCAGGCGCTGCTTCTGTTAAAAAAAAAAAAAAAAAAAAAGGTCTTTCAGAAAAATATTTTGTTTAATAGGGAAAAAAAAATTACAAAAAGATAATAACTTCGAAACCGACCATATCTTCATGAGACTTATGGTTTTGGTCTGTCTCTTTGTTCAATCTTTCTAACTCGTACTGAAGAGGGTCAGAGGATGAGGTCAGAGGCATCCCATATGCCATATGAGGTGCAGCATGTATAGGATGAGTATTAAATGCATAAGTAGCAGATGTAGCCCATGTGTCTGGCAAAAGCTGTCCAAATCCACTAGTAGGGATATTAACAGACCGATGCAATGTCAGAGGCTGCAAAAAAGTTTGATCTGAAAGATCAAGTAAGTTCGTAGCATTTTCATATGAACCCTGAGCAGTTTGGTCAATGGCATGATCTTCAATACTTGGCTGAATTTCTATTCCACCAACTGAAGATAACTCAAGAGGATTACAATCAGGTGTATTAGAGTATGGTGGCTGTGGCACTTGTACCACAGGCTCATTGTCCACAGCAAGATCAGAATGAACATATGCTACTGTTGCAACTGATTGGGATACTGGAATTTCAACTGGTTGGGCAGTATTCTGCATTTCTCTAGCTTGTGCATCTCCACATTGAACTTCTCTCAATGTGGCTAACAGAGTACCTTTGTCTTGGTGTGCCTGGACAGGTTACAAATGTGTCAGTAAAAGCCAAACCACTTACTCTTTTTTGTCTTTATTTCATTTATTAGAATCAACTTTATTAACAAGCTTGAATACCATGTCCTCATAAAAACCAAGACAAAACTCACAGAATAATGAACAAAGTTCTTTTGTATAGATTTACAAAACCCATATAAATCTCAGAGATTTAACCTCATAATTCTCTGGATAGTATAAAAAAGTAGTGCAGACAATGTTCCCATACAAAGCACAATGTCATTTTGCAGCAAGAGAATAATGATCAAAACAAGGTGAATAGCGTACAGTGAGAATATCTAACAATTTTATACCTGATGTAGTGCCACTGAACAGGCATCCACAACGGCTGTCACAAGCTCCACTGCTGGTGAGTTTACCAGGGTATTTTTCCCAGAAGAGATTTCATTTGCTGCAATATCCACTCCATTCTGTTGGTTGACCCTAGTTGCACAATCAGATGCCACAGCGTTCAATTCACTGTTCTCCTTTTCTGTGGAATTTCAGGGTTTTGTTCAACAAATGAAGGTGAATCCAGAGACTCAAGATTATGCAAACCATGACTTGAAATGACAGTATCATGTTTTGTGGTTTTTTCAGGGGTTTGTCCTTCAGATGAAGCTGGACCCACAGAGACAAGATTCCCCAGGTCATCCCTTGGAGAGACAGTCTCAAGAACTTCTGAACCAACCGCTTTATCAGGAATATTTACTGTCACTGCCCGGAATTCTTCTTCAGATGAAGGTGGGCTCATAGACACAACATATTGCAAATCAGGACTTAAACTAACAGACTCATGTTCTGTTATGTTTTCATAGATTTGTTCTTCAGATGAACGTAGATCCACTGACACAAGGTTCTGTAGACCATCATTCAAACTGACAGGCTCAAGGACACCCAGCTCTACATCTTTAGGTGGCACGGTTACTGTCACTACGCGGGTTCGTTCTTCAGATGAAGGAGAGCTCAGAGACTCAAGATTATGCAAACCATTACTTGAATTAACAATCCCATGTTTTGAGGCTTTTTCAGGGATTTGTTGTTCAGATGAAGGTGGATTGACAAAGGCTAAATCCTTCAAGACATCATTTGAACTGACAGTCTCACACCATCCCAAATCGACCACTTTATCTGAACTGGTTACCGTCACTGCATGGATTTGTTCTTCAGATGAAGGTGGGCTTGTAGAAACAACTTTATGCAAACCATTACTTGAACTGACAGTCTTGTGCAATCCTGTTGGAGTCGTCACTTTTCTAATGGGACCACTACATGCTACAGCTTCATCAGAATTCCCTTCTGGAGTTCCAGACAGTCCTATCACTCCCCTTGTCATGCTCGGCACAATCTTATCAAGATCATGCTCTCTTAGAGAGGCAAAATCATCCAGATCTTTGTTAACTCTAATTTGTTCACTTGTCTGTGAGCATTCCAACTCAGGCTCAGGTTTATTTGAAGATGATCTATTTGGCATTTTGAGCCGTGCCCAGGATCCCACTTTCTGTAACAATTGTTTCTGCTTATCCATCAACTTATACAATGCTTCCTGCTGCAGTGCCTCAAGACGCTCAAGATCTATGTCCACACGTTGTTGATGTTCTTCAATTTCCTTTTCCAACTTCTTGAGCTTATCTGATCTCATTGAAGTATTAATCTGGAAACAAGATTGAATAACGGCCAACTCTGTTTTGTTCTCTCTTTCTAGACACCCCTTTTCTTCCTCGTAATTTTTCCAAAACTCAATTTTCTCTTTTTTATGCTTCTCAGTAAGTTTTGTCATCTTCTTCTTGAACTTTTTACGAATTCCTTTGATACTTTTTGAAACATCTTTGTGTGCTACATATTCTGGATTCACAGTCAAGTCTTTGACCTCTGATTGGACCTTCTGCAAGTTAGAAATCGTTGATTGTGTACCCTTTGCATTTAAATGGTGCTTCAGAGCACCTTTACCTGATAACTTAGCGAACTTTAGAGACTCTGCATCCTTAAAAGTCCCTGTATGTAGTAAAAAGGTTGTCTTCAAACACTGCAGCATTGAATAAAAAGAGTATGCCTCGTCCTTTGTGCAAGTAAAGTTAAGGTGCTGCTTTGCAAGCAAAAGTGATTCTTTGTGGTTGACTTTTTGCTTGAGAAATGAAGCTGCAGCCCAACACTGGATTTATAGATATCAATAAGTCAGTTAAGAAAAGAAAAAAAATAGTTAAAGTGGCATTTTGAACACAAACATGCATGCAGAAGCCAAAGACAATAAAAAATTAAGGGTTGAGCGTTTACCATGCAGATGCAACCAATTTTGCAACAAAACTATAGACATGATGGATTTTAATGCTATCATTTATCACAGTTATTTTAAGCCAAAATCAAAGCATTGCTATTTTATCTTCAGTGAAAACACATCAGAGTAAGGGAAACCAGGAAGACAGAGCAAAATCCAACCATACAGGATCTTTCATGACCATATCAGTAAAAATCAATACCAGAATGAAATATGAGTGTTGCAGCAAGTAACATAAAAGAAAGCATGCATCTAAGAAATTTCCAGTTCAGCATGCCAATAACAAAAAGAATTGCACTTTGCTTAAGAGCACCCAAAAAAAAGGCCAAAAGACTGAAACACAAGTGCATGAAGGATGAAGACAATTCTAACCAGAGATATCTGAAATGCCTGCAGTATTGTTGCTGGTTTTGTATCTACTCTGTGATTACTCATTACATATTCAAGAAGCATTCTGACCGTATCCTTCAGATCTTCCTGCATTTTACTGAGAAGTTAATGGAATGGAGAACTGTATTTTACTGAGAAGTTAATGGAATATTGAGTAAAGAAAAGCCACACAGAAGAACACAAATAGAAAGTAAATGTCAGAATAGAGAAAATCAAATTCATACAGAAAGTTGTAGGATTTCACATAATTTTGACATCCGTGGCTTCAAAAGCAGATGGAGACTCTTCTGGCCATCACACAATTTTCTTCTCTCCTCAGATTCAAACAGGTTACTCTCCGGTTTTTCTAATCCATTTTTATCCACATTATGAGAAGTAGAGGCACAATTTTCATCCGTTACTGTATTTTCACAACCAGTTGTCCTGGTAGAAGAATCAGGCACAATATCTGCTGGAGTTACAGAAGCTCCTGCAATATTAGAGATGCTTTCAGAAGCAAAAAGTGGTAACTCAGAAATCGACAACCTAACCCTAACATTCCACTAAGCCATAACTCTTGGGAAAATAAAAACCATGAAAAAATGAAATTACTTTACAACATCAGCCATTTACCTTTCTTACATCCAGGACTTGATTTTCCCTCTGATCCTGGTTTTAGATGGGGTGAATCATCATTTCTATTTACAACTGTCCTGCGCTTTTTCACAACTTTACCACTTTCAACTTGCTGTATCGCTGACAACACATCAAGCTGTTGTTCCCTTTTCCGTTTCCCCTGAGACAAACCGGAACAAGATGTCCACTGTTTGTACTCTCCCTCCACCACCTTTTTCTGAAACCTAAGGTGTTGCTCTTCATCCTTAGGCTGACTTTCCCGCTTTCCGCTACACAACACCTTCAACAACTAACAAAAGTTTCATAATGAAAACAACAAAAAAATTTAAGTACAACAAACACGAAAAAGGCCGGTAAGCAAATTCCGTCCCTCCAACTACACACCAACAGACTACCACAAAACTAAAGCCGGTAAGCAAATTTTGTCCCTTCAACTACACACCAACAGCCTATCACAAAACTAAACCAATTCAATGGTTGATGAAAATCATTTGGGTTAATCTAAAAGCAGACAAAATCACAACTTAGCGCATGATAATACCTTTTCGCAATTGCCTTTGCTTTCATTTACTGCAAAACAACCACAAATAACAATAAAAACAGATACATTATTATAAGAAAATCACAATTAGGGCCAAAACTAGAAACGAGAGAAACCGGCCAGTTACCTGCTGCATTATCCTTCTTTCCATTTTTCAGAAACATTGCCTTGTAACTTTTATAATCCAGTATCTTCTTTCCCACTACATTCTGCTTCTGGCTCTTCCCTACTTCCCTATTCCGCAGCTCCATTAACGACGACGCCGAGCTTTTACCGTCAGACAATTTCGAACCAGACGAAGTCGACGAGTGGTTCTTCGCCCTCGACGACCGCCGCAGCGGGCTCTGCGTCGACTTCTTCATCTCAAATCTCTCGGATTTCCTCTTCGCTGGCGGAGGAGTCTTCGCCATTTTAGTTTTGCAACCCAAATTTCCGCAAACGTTAGCAACGCGGAAGAATTTGGCGCCCAATTTCAATTTTCCGGCAGTAATCGGAGAATGCTAGGGTTTCTACTTTCGAATTTCCAGCGAGAAAGTGAGATATTTATCGGGAAAATTCGAGGGATGGGAAACAAAAAGGGGAGGCGGCCCGGTTGGTTTTCTGCTTTTTTGATTTTTTTGGTGACAGAATTAATCATTCATAGAGGGAGTGTGAGAGCGTGAGAGTGTGCCGTACAGACTGGCAGACTCCCAGTGCCAGTTGTCTTAACTTGGAGAGGACGAAACCGTAATTTAAATTTTTGTCCTTTCACCCTTTTGCCCCGTCGGATTTAACCAAACAAAATTGGGCTGAAAAGCAAAAGAGGACACAATTGCCTTTTAAATGGTCAAAAGTCCAATTGGCACAATGTACGATGAATGATGTACTATTTGTGTTCATTCATTGTATATTGTGTGATCAATTTTCATCATGTACTTGTAGACATCGAAATTTCAGTGAAATAAATGTTAACCAAGGTATTAAAATTACAACATTTATTTATTTCACCAACATCACACACTCATTTCACCTACAACTTCGATTTACTTCACCAACCTCACACTTTTACTTCACCTACCAACTCCATTTACTTCACCAACCTCACACACTTACTTCACCTACCAACTTCATTTACTTCACCTACAACATCCACTTACTTCACCCACCAACTCCATTTACTTCACCAACCTCACACACTTACTTCACCTACCAACTCCATTTACTTCACCTACAACATCCACTTACTTCACCCACCAACTCCATTTACTTCACCAACCTCACACACTTACTTCACCTACAACATCCACTCACTTCACCAAAAAAATGGATGGTGGTGATTCACTCTCAAAACCTATAAATAGGCTTCTCCATCAAGAGGAAGGAATACCAATTCACCAATACATTTCTCTACTCCCAAAATGGAAGAAAATACTCCCCACCAAAACACCAATTCACAAATACATTTCTCTACTCCCAAAATGGAAGAGAATACTCCCCACACATCCAAAAAAAAACCTTGAAGCCTTAAAGTTCTAAAGCTCTCAAGAAAATCCCGAAGGATGAAGAAAGCACTCCTCGTTCTTCGTCAAATCCTCCTTCAAGATCAAGCCCCAACGGCCCTTGAAGAACTCCCACCAACTCAAGATCAAGCCCCGACGGCCCCTTGAAGAAAGTGTTCATCATTCATCATCCGTTCATCCTAAGATCAAGCCCCAACGGCCCTTTGGATCAACAACCTCAACAAACCTACACACCAAAACCTTGAAGCCTTAAAGTTCTAAAGCTCTCAAGAAAATCCCGAAGGATCAATAAAGCACTCTTCGTTCTTCGTCAAATCCTCCTTCAAGATCAAGCCCCAACGACCCTTGAAGAACTCCCACCAACTCAAGATCAAGCCCCGACGGCCCTTGAAGAAAGTGTTCATCGTTCATCATCCATTCATCCTAAGATCAAGCCCCAACGGCCCTTTGGATCAACAACCTCAACAAATCCACACATCCAATCGTTCTTCAAGATTAAGCCCAAAAGCCCTTGAAGATCCACTCATCCATCAACCTTCAAGATCAAGCCCAAAAGCCCTTGAAGAAATCCACACAACCATTATTCAAGATCAAGCCCCGACGGCCCTTGAAGAAAGTGTTCATCATTCATCATCCGTTCATCCTAAGATCAAGCCCCAACGGCCCTTTGGATCAACAACCTCAACAAACCCACACACACCAAAACCTTGAAGCCTTAAAGTTCTAAAGCTCTCAAGAAAATCCCGAAGGATGAAGAAAGCACTATTCGTTCTTCGTCAAATCCTCCTTCAAGATCAAGCCCCAACGGTCCTTGAAGAACTCCCACCAACTCAAGATCAAGCCCTGACGGCCCCTTGAAGAAAGTGTTCATCATTCATCGTCCGTTCATCCTAAGATCAAGCCCCAACGGCCCTTTGGATCAACAACCTCAACAAACACACACCAAAACCTTGAAGCCTTAAAGTTCTAAAGCTCTCAAGAAAATCCCGAAGGATCAAGAAAGCACTCTTCGTTCTTCGTCAAATCCTCCTTCAAGATCAAGCCCCAACGGCCCTTGAAAAACTTCCACCAACTCAAGATCAAGCCTCGACGGCCCTTGAAGAAAGTGTTCATCGTTCATCATCCGTTCATCCTAAGATCAAGCTCCAACGGCCCTTTGGATCAACAACATCAACAAATAGACACACCAAAACCTTGAAGCCTTAAAGTTCTAAAGCTCTCAAGAAAATCCCGAAGGATTAAGAAAGCACTCTTCGTTCTTCGTCAAATCCTCCTTCAAGATCAAGCCCCAATGGCCCTTGAAGAACTTCCACCAACTCAAGATCAAGCCTCGACGGCCCTTGAAGAAAGTGTTCATCATTCATCATCCGTTCATCCTAAGATCAAGCCCCAACGGCCCTTTGGATCAACAACCTCAACAAATCCACACATCCAATCGTTCTTCAAGATTAAGCCCAAAAGCCCTTGAAGATCCGCTCATCCATCAACCTTCAAGATCAAGCCCAAAAGCCCTTCAAGAAATACACACAACCATTATTCAAGATCAAGCCCCGACAGCCCTTGAAGAAAGTGTTCATCATTCATCATCCGTTCATCCTAAGATCAAGCCCCAACGGCCCTTTGGATCAACAACCTCAACAAACCCATACACTCATTCTTCAAGATCAAGCCCAACGCCCCTTAAGGATCCATTCATCAACTGTTCATCCTAAGATCAAGCTCTAACGACCCTTTGGATTAACAACCTCAACAAACTCATACACCCATTCTTCAAGATCAAGCCCAACGCCCCTTGAATATCCATTCATCAACTGTTCATCCTTCAAGATCAAGCCCTAACGGCTCTTGAAGAACTCCCACGAACTCAAGATCAAGCCCCGACAGCCCTTGAAGAAAGTGTTCATCGTTCATCCTAAGATCAAGCCCCAACGGCCCTTTGGATCAACAACACAAACAAATCCACACATCTATTCTTCAAGATCAAGCCCAAAAGCCCTTGAAGAAAACCAACTGTTCATTCAAGATCAAGCCTCGACGGCCCTTGAAGAAAACCAACCGTTCTTCAAGATCAAGCCCAAAAGCCCTTGAAGATCCGCTCATCCATCAACATTCAAGATCAAGCCCCGAAGGCCCTTGAAGAAACTTCCATCAACCTTCAAGATCAAAGCCACGAAGGCCCTTGAAGAAACTTACAACTGTTCATCCAAGATCAAGCCTCGATGGCCCTTGGATCAACAAATCTACATCTTACGGAGATTGAATCAGATGACCAAATTTAAGAGATCGTAACCCAAAAAATCATTAACACAAAAATATTACTTTGTGCACGTATTCTTGTTTCTTGTTTCAGGAATTTTTCGTGTTCACAGTACTGTTTATGTTTAATTTTAAATAATAAAATTTAAAATAATTTATGTTCGCACGATGTATGATGAACGAACAAAATACGTGGATTCGCAGAATCCTCACAAAGAAGATCCTTATTAGCATGGAAGAATTGGCTATTATTGTACAATTTTGTTCTAATAGAGTAATATTATATGTACGTTTCTCATCGCATGACATTTTGAATGTTAAATTGGGATGTTGTGTGACTGTGAACCATTTTGTTTAGGTTGTTTTTCTAATGCACAATAGGGTGTAGTCGGGTTGTGTTTATCTCTTGTCGTGTTCATGTAACAACGCATATTGACCAACACGTATATCGATTAAATGGTAATACTATAATAATACAAAATAAATTCATATTATTAAATAAGAATGTTACGTTATTGTGGCGGTTTGCTCTCCCAAATTCCCAATGCACATTAGGGTGTAGTCGTTCATCTGTTGTCGCGTTTATGACGTCACACATATTGACCAACACATAAATCGAGTAAATAAAATACTATAATAGTATAAAATAAATTCATATTATTAAATCAGGATGTTATGATACTGTGACAGGCTGCTTTCCCAAATTTCCAATGCACATTAAGGTGTAGCTAGGTTGTGTTCATCTCTTATCATGTTTATGTCGTCACACATATTGACCAAACATGTATATCAATTAAATAATAATACTATAATAATACAAAGATTCATACTATTAAATTATGGCCATTTTGTGACTGTGATAGATTGTTTTCCCAACACACAATAGGGTGTAGCCGAGTTGTGTTCAATTACCTATTTATATGTATTATTGTGTTCATGTCGTCACAACCCATATCATTGATTTTTTATTCAAAACTATGTAGCGATGAATGATACAAGAAATAAATAGCTTAGATTGAAAATAAAAGATTTAAACAGTGGTGAAAATTAAATATTGAAAAAATTATCATTTTATTTACACATATTATATAAAATAGTGTTGACAATTTTCTAGTTGTGTCGATTATATGCAGGTCAGAACTTATATCTGTAAGAGTTTTAAGTCGTTTTAATACATGTTTACAAAAGTTAAGCAAATAGCATTTTCAAAGGAGATGTCAAACATAATATGTCAAAATTTTACTTAATCGTTGATGTGGCCAATTGAGTATAGATTTTAAATCTTTTTCTCTCTTTTTTTTTTTTTTTGGCTAGATTTTTAGATCTTCTTCATTTTCAATAGATGTGTAATATTTTGGGCCACATAGTTACACTAACTATTAAAAAATAATTACAATTGATCTTAATTTTCATTTTATTCGTTGTCAATGAGACCAGTGTATTTAAAAATTAAATTAAAGGCATGTGACTCTATCTTTATTTGTTGCTAAAAAAGATAGCTAGAAAGTAATGAGTCAAATAACTTAGCTGCAATATCATATATGACATCTCTCTTGGAAGACACCTTGATATCTTTTAGTCATAATTAGCATGTTTGACATCTCTTTTATAGATAGTCTAAAACGCTTAAATAAGTGTGACGTGGCTCACATGCTTTGCATCTACCGCACACAATAATCGACTGATTTTAAACTCTGCTCATGTTTGTAAATTACTCAACAAAATCCATTCACTTATTTCTCAACATGAGCAGAGTTTAAAATCAGTCGATTATTGTGTGCGGCAGGTGCAAAGCCTTACTCAACAAAATCCATTCACTTATTTCTCAAAATGAAACATGGAAATACCAAAAAAAAAAAAAAAAAAAAAAAAGAAGGACA